ATAAAAATTGAAAACGCTAAGACAGGCCTGATATCCTTATATAGTTTTTTCTTTGATTTAGGAGAGAGTTATGAACATACAAGGAGTTAATGAACCTGCTTGTACAGAAGAACTCACCAAGGATCATTCAAAAAGTTATTCAACTTATTGAGGCATGATCCTAGAAACTAAGACAGAGATTTCGAGATAGTTTCGGACCTGAACCGCGCGAATAAAAAAATATATATAGCTCCTCTGCTTGTCTCAGAAACCACAATTATGATTTTGATTATACCCTCGAATTTCCAATCTGCAGTCAATTTCAAAGCAAAACGAGCACCAAACCACTTTTTCTCGACACTGGAAAAAAATTTCGGAAAACAGTTTTGATACTGCGTACAAGGCGAGCTAAACTTATTGTTTTTGTATCGGATTAATTGTGTCTTAGTTCGGCCATTGAAGTGGGGAGCAACTCTGTGTTTGGGTGTTTAAAAAAAACCACGCTCAAAAGTTGTTACCAAAAAATGTCCAATGAGAAAGATTGACATATCACATACAGTTAAATCCCGAAGTTATTACACATACGTGAGAAAGTTTCTTGTATTCGGGAACTAGATTTTTTCCCTTAAAAAACTGTTACTACAAAATTTATTTGCTTTTCTTACTTGCTTAGAACCGTAATTGCTTATTAACGTGGTTGACTTTGCACCCTGAGTTCTGGGGTTCGAGCCACGGCCAGACCTTGTTTTCTTCAGCATGTTAGAAATTTAATTTTTTTTCTGGTAAAAATTGTATTTATCAGACTTTCGCTCAAGTTTTGTCTGCTTATTTGTCACATCATGGGGTGTTTTTTGGTGTGAACAATTTTCATTGTTTTCAAGTTTTGTTAGTTGTTGTTTCAGGAGTAATTAAATCTTTTTAACGAAGTCATTTTTTTTTCAGCTGAACTGAAGTCTGCTCCATTTTGAAAACTTACATATTGTAATTTCAAATTTTTTTTCCCTTGTTAATTTATTTTTAAGTGCTGCAAGTTCTCTCCTTTCAAGGTTTTGATTAGAATTCAACTGGTTTGCTATCATTGTTGGCAAAAAAAAACACAAAATCAATTGAGATCATAGCCTATGTGATCAATTGAAAATTGATTATTTTTCTATAACTATTGTAATAGACCCACAATTTCTTTGATCCACAATTTTTGAATAATTCAGAAAATTTCGCAAAATTTCACTTAGATTTTCGTCATTTGACTTTGATGAAACAGTTTTAATTGCGGTCAAAGCGTAGTAATTTCCGAGCTGATTTACGCAAGATGTTACGCTCAGAGAAATCATGAAGATTCTGGAATCAGTAGCAGAAGTATGTTTTTTATACCAAGCAAAATCAATCAAAGCAGAATTAATCAAATATCGAGTGACATACCACATTCCAGACGTGACCCAAGCTGCCTTTAAAATTCCATGTTTACATCAGTGTTTACTTTTTCGGTGTGAATTTTTCGATGTGAACTTTTCTTCCATATTTGAAGTAAGTGACAAAATAATTCTACTCTAGGCTGTTTTCTTCTCCAAAGAAGTCTTGATCTTGATTTCTATCAAGTCAATTTTTTGGAGAAAGTATTTTTAAACCATCTAAATTAATTTGCTGGGCAAATCGAAAAGTTAAAAAGAAATCTCAATTGCGACTATTTGTTCTAAAAAAAAACATTTAAGTACATTAATGGGATTATTAAAGCATTGGCGGTAAAAAGATTAATCAATACTGATTTTAAGCAATCAATTTGCACTTAATAAATTTGGACGCAAAATGTATCAGTTGACACTTAAAAAATCCTGTGGTGGGATAAAGTTTTAAAAGTTATTGAAATACTGAATTTTAATCTTCATTTGTTGAAATATTTTAAAGCATTTACTACCAAAAGTCTTAGGTGATGAGAATTCATTTAGGAATAAAGCAGAGACTTTCTATATGCAAACTTAATTTGTATTTTAAATGTTCAATAGCATACACAACACGTTTGTTGGTTCACATTAAAAAACTGTAACAAAAACATTGTTTCAATTCAATTGTTTTGTCAATAAAAAAGGAAAATTTGAAGACAAAAATGAAAAATATACAATCTTTGTTGTTGATTTACAGAGTTGTTTTAAACTTATTAATGATAACAAAAAGTAAAAGAACACGCATCGCTTAAAAATACTCTTATTCTCTAACCAGATCAAATTTAGTTTCTCAAACCACATTATGTAGAACTTTTCAGCTGATGAAAATGTCATTTATTTTTAACGGCAGCGTTTGATAAGCTGAAGGTTTATCAAAAGGAAGCAAAGACTTTTTAGATGCATATTTTATTTTTGACCAATATTGATTTAGTAATAAAGCAAAGTTTCACTGAATTACGAATTTTAGCGTTCGGTTATAATGTGTAACAAGACTGCTCGTATCAGGGCGAAGCCCTGAATGTTCCGACTGCCCTTTAAATTTTGTGGAGCAGTAATAACATTAAAAAATTCAATGAAATAAAACAAAATGAAAAATTTTTTTTCTAAAATTTAAAATTTTCTATGAAAATCATCCCCCCACACGCCATATAAAGTACAAAAGGCTAAATTTCGCTTCTTGTAACAAACCAATTATGGCGAACAAGCTTCTTTTAACCAATTTGGAACGATTTCTAAGACGGATTAACTCTCCGCTTACGCGTTAATAGCGCGAAATATATCGCGCGTTAATTGTCCCAAATTGACCATAATGGCAATCTTTAAACCCCCGTAACTTTAAGAAAAATGATCACAGGTGAAATATCTTTTCAAATTTGAGCTCAGGAGAACAATATTTTTCGAATGATATAAAAAAATTCCGTCAAAAATGGCTAGTTAAAAAGTCGAAATTTGTCTGAAGAAAAAAAAAACCCACCCCGAGCACAAATATTCCGTTACTTTCGTATCGAAAGTCGGAACAACAAGACTACTCGTATCAGGGCGAAGCCCTGAATGTTCCGACTGCCTTTTAAGGTTTATGGAGCAGCAGTAATAACATTAAAAAATAAGTGAAATAAAATAGAATGAAAATTTTTTTTTTCTAAAATTTGAAATTTTTTATGAAAATCATCCCCCACACGCCATATAAAGTGCAAAAAGATAAATTTCGTTCCTTGTAACAAATCAATTATGGCAAATAAGCTTCGTTCAACCAATTTGGAACGATTTATAAGACGGATTCAATCTCCGCTTACGCGTTGATAGCGCGAATTATATCGCGCCTTAATTGTCCCAAATTGGTTAAAATGGCCAAAATGGCAATCTTTAAACCCTCATTACTTTACGAAAAATGATCACAGGTAAAATATTTTTTTCAAATTCAAGCTCAGGACAACAATAATTTTTGAATGATATAAAAAAGTTCCATCAAAAACGTCTAGTTAAACAATCGAAATTTGTCTGAAGAAAAAAAACCCACCCCGAGCACAAATATTCCGTTACTTTCGTATCGAAAGTCGGAATAATAATAAATGCATTTGTAATTTCAGTTTAAAAGATTTTAGGAAAAACTTAATTTTTCAACTAAGTACAAAGTTATATGCTTTGAATATAGCAAAGTGTAAAATAGACAAAAAGTATGCCTCACATATAATTGCAACGATTTATCATTATGAATCAATCTCAGCTTACTCCTTAATAGCACTAAATATATCGCGCGTAATTGTCTCAAATTGGCTAAACTGGCAATCTTTCAACCCTAATAACTTCACAAAAAAAATATCACAAGTCAAATACATTGTTAAATTTGAGCTCAGGATAAAAATACTTTTCAGATGGTAATAATGGCTTGTGAAAAAGTTGATTTTTGAATGGAGAAAAAAAACTCCGCGAGCACAAATAATCCGTCACTATCTTCGAAAGTCGGAAAATAAACACCGCAACCTCTATTATTGATTGGCAAAATTATTGTATTAAATGCATTTTAAATCAAACTAAAATTGCACGCACCATTGAAAAATCGGAAAAATTTAGCTTGCACCATTGTTGTAACTCAGAGCTCATTCTTTTTGTGTACTCAACGAGTATCTAGGGCTGTTTTTGGTTATGGGGATTGATTTCAAAAAAAGCAGAGATGCAAATTTTAGCTTTTAGCGTGTATTACCATGCACGTTTATTAATTTAGATTTAAAGAACTTATTAAAAACTAACCGTTTCAATTCAATTGTTTTGTCTATGAAAAATAAAGTTTAAGGACAAAATATGAAAAACTTTGCGATCCTTGTTTTTGATTGGCAGAGCTGTTTTCAATTTAATTAATTCAAAATGAAAGTAAAATTACACACATTTTTGAACACGCATCGCTGACACATACACGCATTCTGTTTTTAGAGGTAGTGCTTTTCAGCTGATGAAAATGTCATTTCAATTTTACGGCAGCTCTTGATAAGCTGAAGGTTATTTCAAGTTGGTACATCGTGACAGTTTACAGGTAAATATTATGCTCGATTCGCCCGGATTACAAAGACTACCAGTCGAAGGAACCTGTCAATCAGGGGGTAATTAACCTCGACACCCACCCACCAGTACCCTTCGCTTCACGCCGGAATCTGCTTCCGCTATGCTCCTACTGGGGGTTATTTGTTGGCCATATTCCTCTACTTTTTGGCAGCATTCACCCACACACACAGACAGTCGAATCAACTAACGCGTGCGAGAGCGTGTTGATTTTTCCATAATGACGTCACTTTTGTTTCAAGCCTGGGGTAATAGTTTGGTTCATGGGTTAATGTGGGTTGTTTTGAGAAACGGGGGGGGGGGGGGGGGAGGGTTGGTCTTGGGGTTGGAGTAGGGTGGCGCGCTGAATGAGAGAGGAGAGAGAGAGAGGTATTGGAATAAGTATTGTATGGCTTCCATATTTCCACTCAGATTTCAGCCTTCTTTTTCACCTCTGATTTTTCATCCTCTCTCTCTCTCTCTCTCTTTCTCGGTTTTCTCTGCTTTCTTTTTCTCTTAATTTCTGTTCGCTCGTTTTTTGTACTTTGTTTTCGCTCTAATTCCATATTTTTTCCTTCCATTATAGTTCTTCGCCTCCATTTAAGCCCAAGCTTGTCTGTATCCTAGTAGTCAATGACCATACTATGCTCAGAAGAGGCTTGCAGATGAATTATTAATCAATCAAAACAAATAAATATTTCATATCACCTCTCTTAAATTTTTCTTCAACCACATACTCTCTTTTTCACTTACTATCATGTCTATTATTTCTCCTGCGTCATAACAAGATGTTTTTTATACCATCTTACCTTGCTAATCATCAGCTTCGCTTTGTCACTGTCAAATCAATTGCCAATTTGATTCGAATCAAAAATAAAGGTAAGCAAAAATGATAATGTTAAGGTATAATTAATTGCACACTCCAAAACTAACAAAATTGCAGAGTCATAAGTAGCCGACTGAACACATATTCGACAAATTGAACGATATTAAAAGATCTTTCTAAGATTATTTCAAAATTTTGGGTTGTAATTTTGGAAGCAACTCTATTCTCTTTCAAAGCTTTCTCTTATCTTATTTAAAGCTTTATTGAATTTTGGTCGCATATGTACTCTTTATTCGGAACAACTACTTTTGTGGTAGTTCAGCGAACTCAACCGATTTGAATTACCAGAAGTTAAGAGGCTTTTTCGCGTCAATTTTAAAAAAGATGCCGGAATTGTACCAAGCACTTTTACTACTATCCGATGAGAAATAACTCATCGAAATTCTGGACAAAAGTAGCTCAAATAAGTAGCTAAGAAAAATATTAACACAACAGACTCACTTCTTACTGGTTATTGCTTATTAAGTTTTAATTTGTGACAAAAGAAGAAGCTGAAAAATTTTCTAAGGAATGCGAGATTGAATTTTTTGGTTTTCTAGAACCACAACTTCTGCTCTGAAAGCACAAAAATTTTATAAAAGTAGCAAAAGCTCTGGTTATGAAAAAATGTGAATTAAATTTTTTCATTTAGCTGTATATCATTACTATGATAAACTATCTCAGCTAAAAACTATCGTGCAAGATGTAAGAATTTCGAAAGAACTTACAAGATCTCTTGTTACAAGTGCAAAGAAAAAAATTTACGCATTAAATGAAATATCATCTGCGAAGGAGTGTTACAGGACCTTGGAAAATAACTCATCATTAGGAAAACAAGAAAAACAATTGCGTCTATTTCAAGCGATTGTTTTGAGCAGGTTAGTTTCGATTTCTTAAACAATATATTGGTTTTTAATTTTTTTAGGAGAATAGAAAAGTTGTCAGGCCATTTCGTACGCAAAAGATCGTCTTTATAGAAAAGCTCAACTTATTTTGTTTTCTTCATGATTTTTATCCATCATTATGACTCAATTCTTATTATTCCACCTTTCTACTTTTTTTTTTTAAAAATTGGTTTTTTCTATGTAAATTTATTTTGAAAAAAATTGTTTTTGTTACTTTGATCGAAAAATCGAGTGCAGTTTGTGGTTTCCAAACAAGCGTAATAATTAGATGAAGGAAAGATTGCTATTTGCTCAAATCAGATCGCAGCCATGAATGTTTGGAGTGCTATCCTTTCTGAAGTAAGTTTGGGATAAAAGTACAAACATTTTGGAAAATAAACTTTTATTCTTTTTTTAATTTTAAAACTGTTTTTGTTAAACCCTGCAAACCTGCCAGATTGAGTGTCAAATTCAACATGACCAATTTCTCATCTTGAAAGGTTTGTTTGGACTAACTGCCGTGTTGGAATTGATTTTAAAATAATTTGCAGATTTTCAAAAACTTTTCGAAAATTTTGTCGATCTTTTTTTTGGTCGACCACATTGATTTTCCGAACGCTCCCAGAACAGTACAAAGCCCCTATCCTGACCAAAAATTTAGCGCCGTATGCAAATTAAAAAAAAACTGGTCAAAAATAACGTTTTTTTTGCACTTTTTAGAAAATTTTGACCAAAACATTGCGTGTCTTCAAAATTTGAGTTTATTGGCACCCAAGGTGCCTTTTGATAAAAATTAGGGTTGCTCGGCTTAAATTGGATGTCATAAATTATTACCAAAGGGGTTTCTTCGGTGTATGAGGGGGTCGAATCCCTGTGGAGAGGGTCGCCCAACTCCCCGCCGCCACCCTTAATACCGTCCCTGTTTTTGAGCCTTGTTTTCAAAAAGAATTAATAAAAGAGTCAAAAATTGTGTTATTGAGACAAAAAATTTTGGAAAAAAAACCACCTCGAGAACAAAATTTTCGTCAAAACTTTTTCATAAAACGGAACAATAATCAGATGACCAGTATTACATGTAATTGCGCTCATGTTTCGCAAATTTTCCCTTGTTATATCCACATATCAACTCTCAATTCAGTCCTGATATAATCCAAACGAACGTTTGATTGTGATAGGCTTTAAATCAACCTCTGTTTTCCCACTTGTTCTACTACTGATGATAATTTTTCAAGGAGTTCTGGAACTTTGCGCTGGTGAATGAGCTAAATCTTCGCTCGATAGTGCAACAAAATTACCGCAATCCAAAAAAAAAAACAATTAGCGCATATTTTTCTCATCCATGGGGAGCATCAACTTCTTTCGGCGAAACACTAAAAAGTCTGCGTTTTGCCCATTTCACTCGTGTATAAACCCCTTTTTTAATGTTTATGAATGTGAATTTTTTATGCAGTTTTTTAAATTATTTTTTGCACATCTCAACTCTCAATGTCACGTGTTCTGTCGGATTAGCACCTACTTAAGCTCTAATATCCCGGGTTGACCTTCATGCACGAAAAATTTTTGTCATACAATTCCATACAAGAAAATAGGTTATCAGAAACATTCATACATGGAGTGTATGGAAAAAAATATATATTTTTTCTGGATTGTTACTGATTACAGCAATTTAAAAATGAAGCATAACTTTGATATTTGAAATCACATTTTGATTTTTTGACTGAATCCAATAATTTTTGAGACTATTTTTTGAAGTTAAAGCAAATATTTTATTATTTCAATTGTCGAGCAGCTTAATTGCAGATATGAGGAAACTATCAGCTGCAAATTCAATAATTTCAACCGGTAACAGGATTTTAGAATTTCTCGACCTTTTGGACGAAATTTTGAGGACGATTTTTAATTGATTTTCTTAACTGTCCCAAGTCTACAAAAAAAACCTGTTTTAGGAATGCTAGACCAAAAATGGATGTCATAAAAATATGAAAAAAAGGATAAAGATAATTTGGCAGGCCAGTAAGTTGATTAGCCCCCTGTCTAAGTTTATCCCTGCCTGTTATTGATCAATTTAGCATAAAATGAGAAACAAAACATCAAAAAAAAATTAATTATATTTTTACATCAAATTTTAGTAGTCATTTTTTTACTCTTAACTGCTATTCAGCATTAAAAAAAAACAAGAAGGCTCGTATGTCAAGGCAAAACTAAGTTTTCCGACTGCCCTTTTATCAAAATCTATTAGCTTTTGGGAAAAAAGAATATTGAAAAACTATCAATATCAAAGATCAAGTGTGAAAGTTCAGGTTACGAAATAAATACGACCGATTAGCTTAGCTTTTTGGATTAAATCTTCAAAACGCGTATAAAATAGTCAAGAGCATGGCCAAATTGGTAATTTTTAAACTCCCAAAACTTTGTAAAAGCTGATCGGAGTCAATATCTTCAATGGGGCATAAACTATTTTTGTTTAAAAATATTATTTCGATCGCCTCAAATTGACTGAGTAAAAAACCACACCGAGCATAAATATTCCGTTTTTTTGAAAGTCAGAACAATGAGTTAGTTTTAAGTATTCAATGCGATTGAGTTGACTATCACCCCATACACTATGTAAGATTTTTAACTAGGCCAAATAGCAGGCCTCAATTCAATTTGTAACGAATTCTAGGACGGAATGAATATCTGCTTACGCGTTATTAGCATAAAAGAATCATACGCGTTAGTTGTCCGAAAGTGGCCAAATCGTCAAATTAGCAAATTTCAAACCACATAATTTTGCAAAAAAAATGATTGTTTTTGCAATATCTTTCTTAATTTGAGTTCAATGCAACACTAAAAAAATCGTTCAAAACTTCATAATTTTAAAGTCGATAAATGATGAGAAAAAAAAATCATTCAAGAACAAATAGTTCGTCACTTTCTTAGAAGTTCGGAACAAAAGCAATAATTCTCCCGATTTTCGAAGAAAGTGCGCAATATTTATGCTTTTGGTGGTTCTTTTCTCTTAAATGAATTTTCGATTTTATACTGAGCGTTTGTGACAATTTTTGAAACCATCTAAAAGATAATGTTGCTTACAGTTCGATTTTGAAAAAATTTTTTAACTGTGATATTTTTGTAACATTATAAAGGTTTGAAAACTACTAATTTGGCCGATTTGGGATAATAAGCATGCGATATGTTGCGTTCTTAAAAAACGTGAACGCGGCAAATTATGTGTTCCAAATTAAATTGAGGCCACCAATGTAGTTCTTTTAAAAATACGAGATACTAAGCACACCCTAGCGCTTTGCAGAGCGTGTGGGGATGAAATGGAAAACAAAGTTTTTTGATCATTTTGTCAGTGATTCAATCAGAAATCTTTTTAATATGCCTCAAACTGTCAAACTGCAGTCGGAACATTCAGGGCTTCGCCCTGATATTCGAACAGTCTTGTTGCATTTCTTTAATCATTGAAATGACACATAGGAGAAACAATCTAAGTGAATAGAAAAAACTAGCTGCTTTTGTGGTGTTGTAATTGTGGTTATTCCTGCTCATTCTGGTTTTTTTTTCTGGTTGTTATTCCGTTTTCCAAAGAAATTGACGGAATGTTTGTGCTCGGGCTGGTTTTAACCAACAGTTTTCTGAAGGTATTTTTCTTTTTCATTCAATTTGATCCTGCCATTTGAGCCCAAATTTAAAAACATATTTAACCTGGAATGGTTTTTACTAATAGTTTTTGTAATCAAAATTTCCCAATTTGGCCAATTTGAATATACAATGGGCGTTAATTAGTGCTGATAACGCGTAAGCGGAAATTTAATCCGTCCTTGAAAAATTCCAAATTGAATTGAAGTCAGCTATCTGTTCTATTAAAGCTTTTTAATATGCAAGTTTTTTCACTTTGTACTTAACATATCGTGGGTTGGGATGCTTTTAAAAAAATCTAAAAAACTGTCTTTTTTTTTACTTTTTTTGAAGGTTTCTTTCATTTTTCAAAAAACAAACACTACCACTTACACTTATAACTAAATAAATTGCAGTCGAATTTATTGTCCGGATACGAATTGTCTTGATAAAGTTTTTGTTTTTTTTGGTGTTTCATGTTTATTTTTTTTTTCTGTTTTAGTCTTTTTTGGTTTATCATTTGG